TTAATTTAATAAATAATAAACATGCATTTTTGTTTGCATATTTTCGCATATTTTTGCATATTTTGAGTGCATATTTGAATGATAACCGTTGCATAAATGCATGCATATTTCGTACGTTTTTAGTGCATATAATTCCGGGCCCTACTTATTATTATTGTATACAAGAAAAAAAAAACACGAAATAATTATATTTTATATATCTACATATAATTTTTATACCTTCAACTATAAAAATCTTTAGAAATATTGCATTATATCATAATAAACACGGAGATTGAAGATTCGGTCAGTTTAAAAAGTTTTTAAAAAATTAAATATTTTGCTGACTATGTACTTGGAATACAAACAATAACGTTTACATAATACACGTAAACTTGAAAATGTGAAAGCAGCGATCCTGACATCATGTAAAGCAGCTAAACCAAATATATAATTACGTGTGTATATATATATATATATATGAATACATGATTTTATGTGCGCACGTCCGTAATAGACTTGAAATCACCTAGATGGGTGGCAACTATTTAGTGAAGTTGCCGATAGAAACCTTACTAAAGTCTACCAACCGTACAGATTAATACCTGTAATACCCAGTAGAGTAATTTTATAGAAATCTTTAAAAATACTTGTGACCCAATTATAATTGGGAATTTAACACGAAATTATAAAAATACAAAGTTATCCGTTTGGCGTTAGATTCGTGTCTTGAAGGCCTTAATGTTTTTTTTTTCGTTCTGGTTTGTAAATTTCTAAAAAAAAAAAAAAAAAACCAAAGAGGTTTAAAAATAATCTTTTATTGCTATTAATTATTATTTTTATATGTAGATATATTATTGTATACCCAACAATATAAATAAGGGATTTTATATGGCTACAACTAGTTTGCGCACATTTTAAAATTGTTCAGTTAAAACCTGGAACTCGTTTGCGCACAAATTATTGTAGAAGGTACCACTCGTTTGCGCACAACATATTATAGAAGGAACAACTCGATAGCGCACAACATTTTTTAAACATATTTTATTGATAACCAATAACCACTTTGAAGGTTTCGAAATAAAATAAAAATACAATGGTTTTGTCGAAAATAACAGATTTATCCATAATTTCGACAGCTCGTTATACTTCGATAAACTTTATCAATATTTATTACCCATGAAATAACTAGTAGGTACTGTTGTACTGATATACATTTTCATAATTTTTTCAACTTTAGTTTCGATATTTCTCGTACAGCGAACATGGAATACGAAATATTTAATATATACTACACGCGTCGCGACAAAATGTGTGTGTCTATAAACAATTTTAAATTTTCGAAAAACAGAGAATTAAAATCTGGTAATTTTTTATTCCGGTGTACCAATAAAAAATGTAAATCAGTGGCTACGTTTAATAGTCAGTGTACAATTATTATTAATTATAAAAACGAACATAATCACAGCGAATATTCTCAGAACGAAGTACATAAAGATATTATCCGAAGTTCTGTTAAGAGAAAGGCCATTGAAGATATGCATACACAACCAAGTAAAATTATTAGACAAGAATTATTACTAAAATCCGATTTAAATTTAAATCATGGTGACATTCATTTGTTATTGTTAATTCAATGTATACAACAAGAAAAAAACATTTTCCGAAACTCCCAAATACTGTTAACGAGGCTGTATAACAGCTAAAAGAATTTGAAGTAAAATTCAAAGATGAACAATTCATGTATTTCAATGACGATAATTCTGTAGTAAGTTAAAAAATTAATAAAAAATAAAATAAAAAGTAAAATAAAATTTAAGATAACACCATCGTCCATTAAAGGCGGTATTGTAATAATAAACAATGTGGTTTCTGATTGTCATTAATCATGTTCACATATAATCTACAGTAATGCGGGGTTACGACCAGTAGTCCCACTTACCAACTGTTCAATTTTTATCTTGGGAATTATTTTATATTTATCTAATCAGTTTTACGTGTCTTTTGTCAAACAAAACAGACTGACCAACTTAACAACATGTGTAAAAACTAAAATTTAATATTAAAGTTTTTTCGTAATTAAAAATGTATTTATTTCTGTTCAAGAACGAAAAATATTTTTCTGGTTAACTATTTCGTTTTCGTTCTATAAAACCGGCTTGAAGCCCTGGTTATAAGAGAATATTTTCTAATTATAAAATAAAAATTAAATTTAGTAGGTATGCTACCGATATATATATATATATATATATATATATATAAAATTCATTCTTTGATCCCATTTCCATAGTATTAATATTTTAAAACTTAAAAATCAAAAAGTATGATATGGTATGTTTTTTACTATCGTTCGATTTAACCTTATACGTTTAATGTAAAAAAAAAACCATTTTGGTGTTGTTACTTTCGCTAATTATATTTTTATAGGTAACAATAATTATAATAGACGTTGGAAATAACAAATTAATAGGTACTGTTTATTTTTAAATTAATTTCAGAGTATATGATATACTATATTATTTCAACAGTAATTATTGTTTTACATATCTAAATGAATTTATTCAGTAGTTGTAGCGGACAACAGCTTTTAATTTAGAATTCTAGTAATTTAGAAATGGTTTAGTCTAACCTTTAATTAAATGTAAAAAATTTAATAGAAGACCATTAACAAAAAAAAAAAAAATAATAATATTTTCTTAGTTTTAATTAATACATTTGTATAACTATATGAGACGATTGTCCGGTCGACTAAAATTATTTTAGTTATTAGTTAACACTTGTTTTTTTTAAATGTATTAAGTTCGAAAATCAGTATTTTAACCATCTACAATAATGTTATTATGGTGATGTATGAATTTGAACTTTCGAAAAAAAATTAAAAACTTTAAATTCTTATCGATACCCTGTAATTATTTTTACGTATATATGTTCAATCTTGTATATAACATACAAATAAAACGCATTATAACCATTAATAATCAAAACAATTTTAAAATTTGTATAATTAAGCTAGGTAGTATAGAAACAATTTTACTTTAAATGTTCCTATCTCAACCCAAAGAAACGATTATTTTTTTTTTCTATAAAAGAGTTATAGCTAGTTATAGATGTACTTAAATAAAAAAATAATAATAATAGTCGTAACGGATAATAACAATAATAATAATAAGTAGTAACACTAAAGTAAGAACGCTAAAACCATTAATACTTAAATATAATATGTACTATGTACATTATATACATTACCTTACGTAGAAAAAATAGGCGAAAAAGTATTTATTGTTTTTAGTATTTATTCCATTGTTTTGACTTCACAATACGAATACGGAATAATGTTACACGATCTATGTTCGGTATTAAATCTTTCTTGATGTAAGTGTTGAACAAAGAAAGCTATAATAAGTTGATAAAAGAATTATAGATTTTTTCCTTCAGAAAAAAAGTAAAAATATTAGCAACATAGTAATATGGTGTGTTTATTGATGTAGTACCGCCATATTTTAGCGTGTAGAAAACGATCAAAGACTCGACCATTATACAGTAGTCACTCGATAATTCGAACCTCGATAATTCGAAAAACTCCATAAATCGAACTAAACGCTAAGTCCCATGAGAAAACCTCTATAATTAGAAAAAATACATGTATTCCGGTCCCCTCGATAATTCGAAATGTCTGTCGGTGAGGCACACTCTACAATTCGAATTTTTTTTTCACGAATTTCTATAATTCGAATTTCTTTAAACACGATTATATGTACGTTTATATGTATAAAGATTATGTACAATCTAACGTACTCATAATGAAACTAATAATGACGGTGGTTAAATATTATCGTAGTTTAATGTTATCGTATCTTACCTACCTAATCTATACCAAAATAAACCTCTGCTATGGGTAAACCGTTATTGAAATTGAATAAAACGTAGTCAGTCGCAATATGGGTCCCGTAAAATACAAGTGTTTGTCGATAGCCAACAAAAAAAAAGTGATCGCAGCAGTTGAAGCAGGTGAAAAAAAAAGATGTTGCTCTATGTTTTGGTATCCCAGCTTCTACGCTTTCAACAATACTAAAACAAAAGGACTATCTTACAACATTAACACCTTATTCATCGCGGATCAGACAGAAAAAATGTGAGTACCCCGATCTGGAAGAATGTCCTATGGCTTGGTTTACTCAATGTAGGCAAAATAATATTCCAATATCAAGACCTATTTTAAAAGAAAAATCTAAGTTGTTTGCTACCAACTTAGGTATCACAAATTTTCAAGCTAGTGAGGGTTGGTTGGAAAAATTTAAAAAAGGTCATGATTTAACTTTCAAAAAAGTATGTGGAGAGAGTGCAAGTGTTGACCCGTGCATTTCACAATATTGGAAAAATGAGTTAATCGATCTATTGGTTGATTATGATGCTAGGGATATTTTTAATGCCGATGAGACCGGATTTTTTTTACAAATGTTTACCAGATCGCACTTTGACATTTAAAAACGAAAAATGTCATGGTGGTAAAAATAATAAAGAACGGATAACAGTGATGTTGGCCGCGAACATGGATGGATCCCAGAAACTTAAGCCCTTAATGATCGGAAAATTTGCT